GTAGGCCGCCGCCCGCCAACCACCGGCCACTGTCTCCTGCCGCCACCTCCCCCCGCCGTCCATCGCCTGCCGTCCACTCACCGGTCACTTGAAAGGAAAAAATTTTGTGCCATTATCAAACAAATTTCTATTTTTAGAACAGAAATTTTGTGTCATTATCAAACGTGTTTGTTTGCTCAGAAACTCCTCTAGAAACAGAAATAGAAAAATCAATTTATGGCCTGAAATTGATTTCTAAAACAGAATGGTAATCATTCGTAGCCTAACAATCCTAAAAATTGTCACTTGATTGTACTTTTTGAAATTGTTAGGACACAATTGTACTTTTGTGACAAGTTTCAAGACTGAATTGCACTTTTTGAAAGTTTTAGGACGCGATTATACTTTCATGACAAGTTTCAAGACCTAATTGCACTTTTTTAAAGTTATAGGACTCAATCGCTCTTTTGTAACAAATTTTAGGACTTCAAATGCACTTATCATTTTTCAAATTACCTTTTTATGACCTCATCCTTATGTTTATGCATCACATTCCATCTCATTATACAAAAATATTGCCAAATTATCATTTCCTTTTCCCAAGTGCCAATTGCCCGTCACTTTGCTATTCTCATCATGCACTTGAAGCCGTACATCCACATCCACTTGCCAAGGCCTAACCCGTCAGCCCACCACTGCCAACACGTCCACCACCGGCTGCCACGGCCCTCACCGCCACTCCTCCCTCGTCTTGTCTCTCGCTCTCCCCTTTATTCCACCCTCAGTCCTTGTGTTAGTGTCTCTCTCGTCTCTGTCGATTGTGTGGCGTGTGCGTCTCTCTCTCTCTCTCTCTCTCTCTCTCTCTCTCTCATTCGTCAAAACTGCCGAGGACGTGTGCAAGGGCACGGTGACCTCAGATCGAGGTCCTCGCGGCATCCGCAACTTGTTGCTTTCAATGAGTACTTAAATCTCACGGTGACTAATAAATAATCATCAACCTGCAACACATAACAGACTGCATCGTTGGGGGAAAAAGTGTTGCATTACACATTCCGAACTTTTCCAGCTATTACAAGTGAGATAGAGAGATTTGTCAGGTTAGTCTCAGAAGCTGTAAAGAGAATATCTGCATGGGAATCATGGTGGAAGATCAAAAGAAGGGTCACCACAATTATACGAAGTGCATTTACAGAGTTCATTTGAAACAAGAACCGTACGGCCCCCGTACTATCGAGTTTGAGTCTAATCCTTCTGGCTTGATTCAAAAGCGAAGAAAGTTTGGGAATGAACCGCATTATATTGCAATGAGCTCGCTACAAGATTCTGTAACAGTCTGCCTCTTTTTATGTCATTATGGTCTTAGTGTTTAACCACATGCTAGGCAAAAATCAACCAATCATATAGGTTGGCGATAATGCAGAGCATAATCAGAGAAAGATGTAAAATGATATCTGCAGTGCAATGTGTATCGGCAATCTGAAGTTCAGAGTAACCAAGTTCGGGAAGCAAAAGATCATAGACAGGCAAAGAAAAAGCTAAATTGATATATATGAGTATGGTAACTCGGACCTTCGTCGAATATCCGGCAGTTGTGTTCTCAAGGACCGGGTAGAAGGAAGTAAACTTAAAATTCAACTCTTTTGAACTTAATCTTCTTGCCATGAAGCAAAACCTTTATGTACTCGGAGAGAACCATTTTCCAAGACTTCGCAAGAGACAACGGTCATACTTGGTTATCGACCTTGCCAAATTAATCACAATTTTCCAATCTCATGTACGACAAGAAGATGCGAAATATCTAAGATGAACTACACAGAGGGTGCTTACTAATGGCTTCCTTAAACCTCAAATTTTCCAATCTCCTGCTTGTGTATGTCCAGTCAACAACGGCTATAATGATGAACCAACGGTCATATTAAATGATTTATTTCTATAATAGCATGAACTTTGTGATCTTCTCAGCTTAGAACATTATCTTAGAGCTGATCTTTGAAGATCCGTTGGTGTTGTTTTTACCGACAGAACGGATTCATGATCTTATCACTTCAGTTCTGTAAATATTATCACGAATATCTACAATCATCAATGTAAAACATTATACTAAGGATAATTTTGGGATCATCAAAATCTCCAAAAGCATAGCCCATATTTATATAATTTTCCAAACATTCATCATTGAACGTGCACTATCCATTTTTAATCTTTTTATCTGACTTTTATTCATCTTAGGCTTGTGTCCGCCCCCTTAAGCTAAATCTTATCTCTGACTAGTTTCTGCTCATGAGATTGTTTTGGTTTCTCATAGAAGAGTTCTTTACCCGTTCCCGAACAGTGTGCATTAGGGGTGTGCGAAGGAATCGAAAACTGCCCGGACTGCCCGAAATTGGACAGACCGGCGCAGAACCAATGGTTCCTAAGGGAATCGGTTTGGTTCTCGATTCCAATTTATTGAAACCATTGAATACTGGTCCGATTTCCAGTTTCAGGTGTAAAACTGCCTGCATACCATTTTGCATCAAATTTGGTGGTGATAATGTCAAATATGGGAATTGAGATGGGCACAAGATAACGGTTGACTGAGGATCAATAGAAAACGAACTTGAACAAGCAATGGGTGGCTGGAGATTTGATTGCATTCGATTATCTACAAAAGTAGGAAAAAGGGCAACAAATATGGTCAAAAGATATTTGAATGGAGAGAATTTCGAGGAAAGAATCGTGAATGGGCTGGTGAGATGTTTGAATGGAGAGAATTTCACTGGATGGATTTGGGAACAACTTTGAAAGGAAAGATTGGCGGCAAGCGTTAGTCAGTCAACACCAAAAAAGGGAAAGAAAAAAATTTTCTTTCCAACTTGCAAGGACAAAATCGCAATTGATGCAGCAATGGAAGGGGGATTTTGATGGACAAAAACCAAGATGGAAAGTTTGTATCGAATGATATCGCTTGGGCAATCTTCTCATCTTCAATTCCGGTTCCAATTCCTCTATGAGGGGGAAGGTAGCGAATGCAGGTGTTGTCGGACTTGCGTCATATTGGAAACGTTGGGAAGAACTAGGCCAATGCCACCAGAGTCACAATAATGCCGGAAACCTTCAAAGTGTTAGTCAATGATACCAATAAGTCTAATAATGCTGATGGAGGTCCACCAGAGTCACAATAATGCCGGAAACCTTCAAAGTGTTAGTCAATGATACCAATAAGTCTAATAATGCTGATGGAGGTCCACCGTTGCAGGAACTATCATGGTGGGGCACCAGAAGTCGTTAGTGTTTATTGCAAGTGATTCGGGCAGTCAAGGATGTCATGGTTGAGCGTTACGTGAAGCTTGGTGGGACCGATTTCATGGACCCAATTGGGAATCGGACCGGACCGATGGTCCGGCTCTGGGATAGATCCATGGAACCAACGGGTGGTTCCCGATTTCAATTATTTGGAACTGGTCTTTAATAGTTGGTTCTTGATTTTAGTGTGGGAACCACTCATCGAGACCATGCTCTCCCCTAATGCATGGGCATTGGCAAATGTGGCTGGTGAAGGAGAGGAGCTGAGAAACATTTTGCTCTCACAAGGGGCCTTACTACCTCTTGCAAGAATGATACTTCCAAACATGGGTTCAACCGTGACAACAGCTGCCTGGGCATTGTCTAATTTAATCAATTGGCCAAATTAAGTTTCGGTCAAAGTGGGCCGAACTGGGTCGAGTCAACCAGGCTAGCCTGGCCTTGTTGGTCTCGATTTGTCATTTCAGCTAAATTATGCCAAATTATCATGTTTTTGCCAAAATTGATATTGAAATTGAGTTAATTTGGTCTAATTAGATTTGAACAGGGTTAATGGGTACTAATTATGAAGGATCGATTAGGGCACTAAACTTGCGCTCGAGTATTGACCGACCTATCTCAAGCTCGAACTCTTAAAATTGGCTTGAAATTTCAATGCGTTACGATTCCTAGATCAAACGTCGAGGAGGAATCAAGTCTAAAAAATGACTAGAAATGAGTAAATTTTGGAACAAATGCTTTTCGTTTAAAGGGGCAATTTCATTCCCAATACAATAACGCGAGCAAAAATTAGCCAGGTTGATACACTGCTCCAATACATATTAGAAGAGCGAAGCCACTCGATTTGAGCAAAGCAATGGCTTAAATTCGCAAGTTGAAGCCGTTCATTCTCGTCTTCAACTATCAGCTTTTTAAACTCTTGATTTGTGATTTTCTAGCTATCGATGCTAGGACCCAACCTCAAATCTGCGTGGCTCATGTTCCACTTGGCTTGTTCACAAAAACTTATCTAATATCACATATATACATGTAACGTCCAACATAAACATAAGTTTTGACATTATCTAGACATTACAGCTGCGTTTGTTTTACAGAAATTTTTTTTTTAGCAAAGCATTACCCTCATTTTCGATGTTTGGATCACTTAGGATAATGAGTCAACGGAAAATCATTTCCCAGTCAACGAAAATCTATACTTAAATTTAGGAAAATGATTTCCTCTTTTATAAATCAGAAATTATTTCCCAAAATATGATTATACATTGGCACTTGGATCGGAAACTCTGAGCTTGGGCATGGGAACCTCAACACCCATTCCCAGGTCCTTTGTAACGAGCCCGGGTTTAGAGGCTAGGGCCAAGTCCATAGAGTCCGGTGTCAAACTAGATAAAAGTAGGAAACCACTCAAACTAGAAATATGTTCAAATTTGGAAACCTCTCTGGCTTCGATCGGATTTCCTTTACGGCTCAAACTCGAAACAAATTTACTGGATGTTATGTACTTGTCAAAGGCCATCATGATATAATCAGAGTAATTAAGATTCCTTTATTTATAATCCCAAATTTATCAAAAGCATATGTAAGCAGGTCTTGCGGAATATTTTCTACTTCTGGAACTAGTGCTTTGGATTTAAAGGGTCGGTTTCATTTCCAATACACTCCACGCGAGCAAAAGTTATCCAGGTTGATACACTGCTCCAATACACATTAGAAGAGCGAAGTTACGCGATTTGAGCAAAGCAATGGCCATGTATATGTGGATTCAGAAGTTGAAGCCGTTCATTCTCGTGGTATTCTTGCAACTTGGGCTGGCTGGGATGGACATCATTTGCAAGGCTGCCTTGAACGAGGGCACGAGCAATTATGTGCTCGTCGTCTACCGACACGCTGTTGCCACAATCGTCGTCACGCCTTTCGCCATCATCCTCAATAGGTCTCTCTCCCCGTCCCATACAATCTACGATAATTTATCTAAGAAACTTTTATTGGGCCAACACCTCCATTCCACGTGTGCACTCACGCACCGGTAGTCTCCTCGCATCATTTGGTTTTGGTTAAACTTGACTTTGGATATATTGATCATGGGAACTTTTTTTTTATCAGGACAACAAGGCCGAAGATGACACTCCCCATCTTCATCAGAATGATGGTGCTTGGCTTATTGGAGTAAGTATATCATACTGTCACCTTCTCATTCCCCATATGGGGGGTTATCTAGTCCCATTCCCACAACGCACACATTGTTCTCCTGGCTTATTGAATTATCAGTTTTTCGTCAGACTGTCATCATCTCATTTCTCATATTGGGGGTTACCATGAAAAAAAAATGCAAGGAGCACTGAGAAAGATACACATATTAAACTAATAGATTATAATAGTGCAGTCTATCTAAGAACCTACAGTTCTGCAATGCACATGTAAGCTAATATACCCACATTTATAGAGCAGCCAACTCAAAAAAATAAAAATAAAATTACTCAGGCGGGCTAGTTGCTGTTTTCCAGTATTATATCCTAATGATAGCTTGTTCCTAAGGATAGCTCCCCAAGTAGACCTCCAATATTTTCAACCAAAAAAAAATCACTCATGGACTAATAATTTGCAGGATTCACGCAGCAACACACAAAAATAAAGAATACAACACTCTATAGTCCATGATGTATCTTTCTAGCCTTGCCTGAGTAAAAAAGCCGTGAAAAAAGGAAACCAAAGAAGGGGATTGTGCTCTGCTAAAAATGTGTCGGAAAATGTGAGGTGCAGATTGACCGTCACGCTTGTGTGGACCTTCCCATTTTCTATTAACAATTATCGCAAAATATAAGGCAATAGTAAGGTTTCACGATAATTGGTTTTTTTTTTTTGGGGGTGTTTCACGAGCAATTATTATTATTATTTTTTTTATAACCCAAGGAACCCCCGCACGATCGATAGCCGGGGAGTAAACCCTGGGGGTGACACGTGCTAGCCACCACACACGTGCCAACGGTTAAATCACCCTGCGGCATTCGGGATTCGAACACTCAACCTTTTGCAAGAGGAAGAGTGCGCGCTCCAGCAGCGCCACCCAAGCGGGTGGTTTCACGAGCAATTGTTCATGATTATCTTTAACATGTTTTTTCATTCTTATGTCTCTCAGGCCAGTCATTGACCAGAATTTATACTATTTAGGGATGAAGCACACGACCGCGACATTCGGAGCTGCCATGGCCAACATTCTTCCAGCCATCACCTTCGTCATGGCTTGCATCATGCGGTAAATTATGGTTCTTTTATGATATATAGGTTTCACCTTCTTTTGATTTTCGATGGGACCATATGATAACACCGAATGGTTCCACTTTTTTAGGCAATAAATGACTTTTTTTTATCACTACTGGCGTAGACTTGAGAAGGTGAAAATGAGGAGCATTCGGAGCCAAGCTAAGGTTTTTGGGACATTTGCAACAGTCACTGGAGCCATGATCATGACACTAGTCAAAGGCCCGGTTCTCCAACTATTTCGGACACGAGGAGGAGGGACAACCAGCAACAACATTCAAAATGGGAGTGATAGTAGTGGGATCAGCCTCCAGAATTCCATCAAGGGTTCTCTCATGATCGCAATTGGAATGTTCTGTCAAGCTTGCTTCGTGATTCTCCGAGTAATTATTTAATTTAGCCGATCTTTTCACGTTGGACCAATGCATTTTTGTGCGTTAAAAGGCTAATCATAAACAACAATAGCACACTAACTTGCATTGGCATGGTTTTTTTCAATTTCCCACAGGCAACAACACTAAAAAAATATCCTACTGAGATCTCTCTCACGGCTTGGATATGCTTCTTGGGGACTGTTGAGGGTGCCGTCGTGGCTCTAGTCATGGAAAGAGCAAACACTACCGTTTGGTCCATACATTGGGATGCCAAATTACTTGCGGCTGTCTACAGTGTAAGAATTTGCAACTTCTTGATTATTTAACTGATTTTCCTTTACAAAATAACTTGGGAAAATTAAGGGAGAAATTATAATGCCTACCACTATCATCACTTCTTGTCATCGGTTATTCTTCATTATAATGCCTAACACTATTTACTTGTGACATTAAGCTTCATTTATTTTTATGAGTGGGATGGGAACAGATGTTGGCGAATTAGTACGTGGCGCCAATTTCGACCACTCACTTTGTGCAGCTTGCACTAGGCATTAATGTGAGAATCATAAGCCTATGTCATCGTTAATCCACTTCTTGCTTTAAGAGAGTAACAAATTTCAAGAGGTTCTATTTTTTTTAAGAGTTTCTTTGTTATGCCAGCAGAAAATGACAAATAAATTGAAATGAAATTACCCTCTAACCTTTTAGCTATTCTACTTTGGATTTTTATTCGGTACACTTGTAATGTGCAAAATTCTCCTACCAACAAGATTAAGGCACTAACACACATCAAACTTTTAATTTTGCTAATTGCATTCATTTTGTGTAATATATGAGCAGCATATTTACTAAAAATCCTTTTTAACTTTGAAACAAGAAATTTACCTTCTCATATTTGTTATTAGACAAGTTATACCATTCTAGCAAAAAATAAAAGTTATACCATAATTGGTAAATGCAGGGAATAGTCTGCTCAGGAGTGGCCTACTACATTCAAGGTGTGGTCATGAAAGATAGAGGACCAGTTTTCGTCACGGCCTTCAATCCTCTAAGCATGGTGATTGTGGCTGTCTTAAGCACCTTCATGTTGGCTGAGCAGCTTACCTTGGGAAGGTACATTTTTTTCTTCCTCAAAATTCTACCCCAATTCATGCTAATTATCAAATTTTAAAAATTATATTATGATAATTGTTAAATCAGGATTATTGGTGCAATCGTCATTGTGGCTGGTTTGTACCTTGTTGTTTGGGGCAAAAGCAAGGACTACAAATTGCCTTCACCAGTAGATGAGCAATCGGCACTGCCAACAGAGCTGGCTGACCCCGAGGGCATAGACGAGCCAATGGCATTGCCAACAGAGTTGGCTGACCGTGGGGGCAACAGAATGGACAACTTCAGTCATGAGATGATAATCGCTGATGAATAGAACTCGTTTTTATTAGTTATAATTTTCATGAACTATAAATGTCATGTAATCTCTTAATGGATAGTAGTGATACCTGTTTCCTAAATTATCAAAGACGTAGGTTGACGTCGTCTGTGAAGATATAGTGTTTGAGGAAATTCGAAAGGTAATTTATCATTCCCAGACATAATATTCACACTCCGAAGTCAATACACTTTCGCAAACTTTGTACTTGAACATGTTCCAAAAATTAAGAGAATACGGATTTTTCATATGATGCAAAATATTGGAAGCGCAAAATACGAGGATTCAAAGCTTTTCAGAACCGAAACGGGAGAATGCTTTTTCTACATGAGAGACGTACAAAAACCCAGAAAATGGGAGAGACTCCGGCCAGCGTTATCCTAACATAGCCTCCAGCGAGATGTATGGGCTCAAAGAAGAAGATTCGGCAATCGATGCACTCTGCCAGACTTTTAGCTGCGCAAATGTTCCTTCCTGTCCCCAGAAAAGATCAACATGGACAAACAATCGTGCTTGGATAATGATTATGTGAAATCAGGAAGAAACAACTCAGATAGACCTAACCTGCATATTAAATACATGAGCACTCTGCTTCCTGAAAAGCTAAACAAGCGACAATACGACGTAATGCACGTTCGTGAAAAAGCTCTAGATAATAATTCGGTATGGTAGATGAAATTTAGTAGATCACAACTCAGAAGTTCAATTGACGTGAGTAACGAGCCTAATTTGACTCTTTACGAGGGATCGTTTGAAGTTTTGAAATTCACTGGCAGAATCCTCCATCGTACTTTATATATATGCATGGAATACTAGAAAGAGTTATGTCTCAACTTTTTTCTAACCGTATCTCTCTTGAAGAGCAATCCAAGAAGAGCACTCAGTTGTGTATTAAGAACACCATCACCAATTCCCAAAATTGCAGCCAGTACAAGGGGGCCTCAGCAACAAGATAGCTAAAAAATAAGGACTTTTTCATTGCTTGTGCCCCAGCAACAAGATGGACAGTTAAAAATAAGGACTTTTTCATTGTTTGCAACAAAAAAAATCCGTCCAAACGAACTATAGATTCAACCTCAGTGAAGATAAACTCATTGAGCTGAAAATTGTTCCGTTGCTTGCGAGACTGGACACACAATGTTGTTCTCACATTAATCATCAACTTAACAGAGCTCAACTTCCAACCACAATTCCAAAAACAAAGCACGAGCGAGAGAATTGAAACAAAACCAAGATAAATGTAGCTAGATTCATGATGTGATCACAGTAGAATAGGAATCCACACAACTTCTCATCGTTAATGTAATATTTTGGAAAAAAAAAGAAGAAAAGGAGTTGAAAAGTCAAAATAAAAAGAACAGTGGGAGCTTCAGCTTATTTAAGCCAAGAGAGTGCACGGCCGAGAAAGGGCAAGGAAAAGAAAGAGAGGAAAAGAGAAGGAGGAAGAAGAAGAAGAAGAAGAAGAGAAGAGGGTTTTGCGCCGCGGAATCTCGCCTAGCCGATTCGACTTCGTATTGCAACGACCGGTAAGCATTCGCATCTCTCGTTCGTCCGATCGGAGACGTTTTTCGATTTAGGGTTTAAATTCGGAATTTTGTGATATTGGAGCGGTGAAGTCCGATTTTTGGGTTGTTGAGCTATGAATATATATAGAATTGGTAGTTTAGAGTGTCACAGAGCCGTGGAATTTTACGGATCTTGATTTGGACTTATCGTTTGCTCGAAACGAATTTTTAAAGTTGGCTGTGCAAGGAACAGTGCGCGGCCAACGCCTTTTAGGCCGATTTTCGTCGGTTTTCGGCTCGATTTTGGGGCGGCCAAGTTGGGACTTTTGTAATACTTGGAACGGGCTTTCTTTTGACTATAAGTTTGCTAGGATCGGAGTCTGATGGAGAAAGTTATGGCACGATCAAGTTTCGCTTTCAAGTTTAGCGTTGCGGACGATTTGGATAATCGCTTTGGAGGAGCGATTTGTGAGCGCGTTTGAGTCGTTTTGGTTAGCGTCTAAGCTTGGTTTAGTCGAGTCGTTAGTGAAAATGGTGTTTTACTGGTGTTGACGTCAATTCTCGTTTAATTAATAGGATTACGAGATGTCGGCGAGTTTAGCCATGTTGTTTGGTTATAAGGCATTCCCAGGTGAGTTGCGCTATCTCTTCTATGAATTTATAAATTCATGTTTTGAAAGTTATAAGAATTTGAGTATCGTACGAGTTACTAAAGCATGTTTGTTGCATAAAATTCTGGATCGGGCAATTACTACCCCTTTGATATTCGAGAACGATTTGAGAAATTCGAGAATGGTTTTAAGAAATATATTGCGAACGGATATATACGTATTATGTTGCGAACTAGTTTATGGAATGAGTTCTAAATGATTTGAGAAACGTTTTATGAACAACGTTATGTACATATCGATTTATGAAGAATTTTGAAATGATGTGAGAAATGTCTTGTAAAATGTGTTCGGTTTGACGAACGGAGTTAAGAAAGATTATGTGTTTTGTTTTGTGAAATCGATCGGTGATATTGATTGTGGATTATGAGACTTATTATGGATTTGGTATTGTGGATTATTGGAGGATGTGTATTAGTGCTCAATATCGCTGTGAGCCCATTGAGGGGCTTGTGGGTATGCACATACTAGTCTAGGATATCCTTGTGGGCCGAGCCACCGGCGTATAGTAGGTGGAGACCTTGCAAAGGGAGGAATCTTGGTCGCCTTATCACGGGGCGAGATGCGTGAGCATAGTTTGATATTAAGCAATAGATTGGTCAATGGAATGGACCATCGACGTGCGATGTGATATGAGATTCATCAATGAAATAGACCACTGACATGTGTTTTTTACGAGATTAGCCAATGGAATGGACCATTGGTTTCTGTTTTGATATTATTGATTTAAAACAAGCATTTTTATTGTGAAAATATTATGTTAAAGTAGTATATAACGTATTTTGAATTGACGTTTGAAATATGTTGGAGTTGGGTTACATAAGCTTTGGTTTGGTCGATGGATAAACCATCGATGTGTTTTTTTTGTTGTGCCAAGGCAAATCCTTGAGAGCGATGGCAGTGCGGCTGCGGCTCAAAAAGGATAATATCGGATCAGGTTGAGGGATGGCAGTGCGGCTGCGCCTCTACCCCAAACGAGGCCTTCTATGATGAGATTGGCCAATGAAATAGACCATTGGCGTATGTTTTTCGATGAGATTAGTCAATGGAATGAACCATTGACGTGATTTTTAATAGAGATTGATCAATGGACTTGACCATTGATGTTTATGATGGTTTAAATGAGTATTTCGTATTTGTACAAAGGCTTGTTTAAATAAAATAACTCTTATGTGATTTGATATGATATATACCGAATTCGGTATTGCTTTGTTCATATGCATAGTGATTGCTCGATCTGCTTAGAAGAGATACACACTGCTTACTGAGCTGTGGTTGCTCACCTCTCTTTTCCCAATATTTCAGGTTCCTTGGTTAGTAGCCAATAGAGCGAGAGCGATGTCGTTGGGACTTTTGGGAGTCGAATTCCTTGTGGTTTGAGGCTGCATCCTTCAGGTGGAAGGACGGCCGTGTCACCCCTCATCATGGTAGGTTTTGGGGTGTGACAGTTAATAGATGTCATTACAGAAGAATTGAACTGAAACCCAGATCGCACACACATCGAGACGAACCTTACTAGATGATGATGAGCTCGTCGGAGGCATGCAATTGAATGAAGGCCCAGAAGTTGCCGAGGCTGAGAAAGATGGCGCGGCCGTAGGTAGACATCGCTAGGGTTCCCCAAACTGACGCGAGCGTAGACCTTGTGCTTGATCGCCGCGTCGAAAACAGCCGGGAATTTGGTGCATGAGAAAGAGAGAGAGAGAGAGAGGAGTCAGCCGATGAATCATACATCGTAGCCGCCCATGGGGCTCCGGAGGCAACAGTAGAGGTGGAGGAGTTCGGGATTCCGCAGCCGCGACGGAGGGGCTCTTGGGGGAGGCGACGTGCCAGGCACAGATTTGAGCTCGGAGCGACATGGGGCTCTCCCTCTTGGGCGCAAATCTGAGCTCGGAGCGACCGGCGGGGCTCTTGGGAGCGGCGGAGGTGGTGGAGAAAGAGAGAGAGGGTGTCTTGGTTGTTCTTTCCTAGAAGAGCAAGTAAAGAAAGCCTTGAAAATTGAAAAGAGGAGAGAGAATGTGTTTTACGCGGGATTTTAATTTTCAGCTCCATTCTTTTCTACTGGACAGAAAGAAAAGAAAGCCTTTTTCATTTTTTTTGAGCAAGTCCAACTCAGACGACACATGTCTCCCGTTAAATGGAGCCAACTAAGCTCACGCGTGCCACATAAGCAGATGACATGGTGGTTAGTAACCAGTGAATATTTTCTCAATATCATCGTACTTGATTATCGATCTAGCCAAATTAATCACAATTTTCCAATCCGTGTACAACAAGAAGATGCGAAATATTTAAGATGACCTACACGAAGGGTGCTTATGTAACGGCTTCCTTAACCCTCAAATTTAGCTCCAGCAGTAGACACAGGCAAATAGTCCTACAAGACGGCAAACGGGGTATCAATTTGGTCTTCACTCTTGCACCTTCAAAATTGAGGAAGAACGTTGAGGCTTATATCAGCGAAAAGCTCCTACAAGTTCACCCTGTCCAATCAAAGGCTGCAGTTGCTAATCTCTTCTCTGCAGAGGCGGGGATTAGCCTGATGAATTCTGCATTATCTCCAATCTTACACCTTACCCATGTTATGAATGTAATTGCAATCACCAAGGTCCTTCATCGCTTGTAAATTGCGGGTCAGCTTCTCAACCGCAACACTGCGAGAGACACATTTGCAATAGCTACTTGCATTAAGTCTTGTTAACGGTTGCCACATATGCCGGAACCTAGACAGAAACTGCAATCACTGCAATTCCGATGTTGCTCTCCTTCCAATGTCAATAAGCAATTGTAGAAAGCCAACTCCTATCTTAGAACGAAGTCTCAT